CCTAGCGAATCATTCATGATCCAGCCTCATCTACAGAAGAAGTGAGTATGTTTTGTAATGAATCTTTGCAAATCGCCTTTCCTAATAATGTGCTAACTAGCAAGTTTCACGATGAATGCAGCTAAAGTAAACAGTCTCTCTGAGAGCAGCTCGATAGAGAGGGGTGGGGTCAGCATAGCTCATTAACATTTAAAGGAAAATGACAAAAACGGCTTGATCTGAAAAGAGCTGTTTTTGACAGGGTAAAAAAGGTGTCTTTTACACTACCATTGAGAAACTTTAACCAAACTATGTTACAGACTTTTCATTAAGACCCTAAAGAATCATATCAACTTGTGGAAAATGGGCATCCTATGACCCCTTTAATGTGCTGCAGAACAAGCCTCTCGAAATATTTCATAATGACAGGGGTCAAAGCCACTGGGCGATAGTCATTGAGGCAGGTAGCAGCTGATTTTTTAGGCACAGGTACAATAATGGAGGATTTAAGGCAAACAGGGACAACGCTGAGCTGCAATGAAAGGTTAAAGATGTCCTGAAACACTCCTGCAAGTTGGTCTGCACATAATTTCAATGTCCGACCTGACACCCGGTCCGGCCCCACTGCCTTGGTGACGTTGGTTTTCCTCAGTGCAGCCTTCACCTGATGACACTGAAGTACAAGAGTCTGCTGCTGCTGTTCTTCAAACTTGGACAGCTGAGCTGTCTCTTCACCACCTTGTGAGTCGAAACGGGCAAAGAACTGATTCAGGGTGTCAGGGAGTGCCTGATCCTGGCTGATCATCTGCTTGCTGCCCCTGTAGTCTGTTATGGCTTTAATACCTCTCTACAGATGCCGGGGGTTGTTGTTATCAAAGTGTCCCTCAATACGTTTCTTGTACCTGTGTTTAGCCTCCTGTATGCCTTTCTTCAGATCTCTCTGGGCTCTCCTGTAGGCCAGCAGGTCACCTGACCTATAGGCAACATCTCGGGCTTTAAGCAAAGACCGCACCGTACTGTCCAGCCACGGTTTCTGGTTAGGAAACACTCTGATGGATTTAGTGGGCAGCACGGAGTGCGTGCAGAAATATAAATAGGCCAGAACAGACGAGGCGTACTCCTCTATATCCGCATTCTCTTTAAACACTCCCCAGTCATGCATTCAAAGCAGTCCTGAAGCGCTGAGATGGCCTCCACACTCCAGACTTGTATGGTTTTAACAGTCTTGATCGGCAGATAAGAGGTCTGTAGGCCGGTATCATTTCCAGCGAGATGTGGTCTGACATGCCAAGGTGCGGAGATGCTGCAGCTTTATATGCCCCTGGGATGTTCGTATAGACCTGGTCCAAAATATTTTTGTCCCTGGTCGGGAAGTTGATGCACTTGAAAAATTTGGGAAACACAGCTTTCAGTTCTACATGATTAAAGTCTCCTGCTGCAATCACAACTCCCTCTGGATGTGCATTTAGCTGGCCATTTATAGTGCTGTGCAACTTCTCCAGTGCTGACCTGACATTAGCCAGTGGCGGTATGTAAACAGCTGTAATCAGAAAAACAGAAACCTCCCTTGGCATGTAGAGCGGCCTGCATTTCACTGCCAGATATTCCAAATCCGGGGAGCAGTACGTTCCAATAACATTCGTTGCAGTACACCAATTATTATGAACATAGATACACACTCCACCGCCTTTACTCTTACCAGAGGCTGCCGTCCTGTCAGCTCGGTACACGGAGTCTCAGCTTTCCAATTTTTTTGTCATTGTCATTTTTTTGTTTTTCAAACAATAAATACCGTTTTGTCGCTCTTTAATGTGTCATGACAGATCACTGTAGCACCTCAATTCAAACGGCATATGAACCAGTCGTCTTTTCATATTTACTTAAAGCACGAAATAAACATGAATGGAGATCAGAAAGTATTTTATTTCAACCGCGGAAAGACTTCAATACACAATTTTCAATTTTAAGTCTGCCAGTTAATCTACTCTCCTGTCTGATTTGTTTGTCAGACAAAATGGTGGTGTGGCAGCATTTTGAGACACCAAAGCTCCATAGCCACAGCTGTGCTCACTGTCAAACAGATACTACTGGAGCTTCCAGCGCACGTTAATCACTGATGTCACTGCACACTGGAACAGCAGTCTGGATATGATCAGACGCTATCTCAAAAAGCAAACATTTGTGACAGCCACTCTTCTAAGCAATGACGCTAGACGAAATGTCCTAACCTTGATACCTCCGTCTCCTCAGACATCCATGATGCAGAGGACATGGTGAGGTTTCTTAAGCCACTCAAAACAGCCACTACTGTGCTGTGTGATGAAAAAAATCCAACTCTGTCTCCCATTTAGGGGTGGGAGAAAAAAATCGATTCTCCGATGCATCGCGATTCTATCTTCAACGATTCTGAATCGATTCTGAGCTTGGTTTTTTCCCCCGCAAATGGCACATGTGCACGCTAGAGACGCGGCGGGCTTCATTGCACAGAATTTGCGCTGCGAGACACATGCGCATTGCTTGACAGTGTGTGCTTCCACCCGCCGTGTTTTACTTTAGATATGCATTCATATATGCTATTTGGAATGCAGTACTATTATGAAACTCGCGCACTGACAGACTTTCACGTGCGCTTTGTGTTTATTGTCCTGAAGCTCGATCGCGGCTGCGGTTAAATGCACTTGCATCTCCCAATACTTTTATATGAAATTGATGTAAATACAGTCAGTTATTTTTTCGGAGCAGGACAGAACATCTGGTATATCGAAATAGATCTGTGCATTTGTGTAAATGCAGCCTGTTAAAGCTGCCACTGTCTATGATCTCATCAATAATAATCAAATGGCAATAATGCTGAGGAAAAAAATAAAACCCCATAAACTTTCGGATACTTAAAAAACACTTATTTTAAATAAGTAATTGTTTTAAAAAGTAGTCTGCTTATATACATAATAAAAAAATAAAGTAAATTTTGCACAAATTAAATTTGATATAAAATGTATATGAAAATGTAGCCATGTGCAGTAATATTGAAAACTGAGAATGTGACGCATCGTGATATTGAGTTGATAATGATAATCATAATTGAATTTAATCGTGAAACCAGTTAAAGGGGTCATATGATGCGATTTCAATTTTTCCTTTCTCTTTGGAGTGTTACAAGCTCTTGGTGCGTAAAGAAGATCTGTAAAGTTGCAAAGACTAAAGTCTCAAATCCAAAGAGTTATTCTTTATAAAAGTTAAGAGTCAGCCACACCTACCTAAAACGGCTCGTTCTAACATGCCCCCACATGTCTACCTCACTATGTGGGAAGATTTGCATAACACCGCCCAAATGTTCACGCAAAGAAAGAAGGTGTAACTTTTATTCTCGCTGTAGTATTGTTGTTGCCGCCACCGC